CTCAGAGCTACTTTATGATTAGTCAGGAATTATTTAAGTTCAAGATTTGCTTGGCACCAGAGGCAGGTGGGGTTTGCTGCAGTTGGATGTTTCCATAACAATACAGGAGAGCCAATTAAAAGCCAATTAGTCATGGACATTACTTTAAGGTCCAGTACTTTGCAAACTCTCCCCCCTTCACTGTTCCTCCCCTGGGCTGCCCTTTATGCTCAGCACAAAGGCTCCAGATGAATGGGGGCTCTTTGCCTGTCTCCATAGAAGCCTCCCCACGCTGACACAAACCCTTCCCAGGCACCTCCAGCCCTGCTCCCCCCTCTGATCTTTGCCCTAAACAAATGTGCTGTTTATTCACTCTTCTCCTCGTTTATGAAGAACCATTGGATGCTGTATGAATACTAATGAGAAAAGAATTAAACCTGTGTTTAAGAGTGAGTGAGGATTCCTCCCTTCAGCATTTACCATGACAGCCAAAGCCTTGGCCCCTCTTGTTATGCTCTTCTTTGAATCCCCAAACCTCTGTCACTTGAAAATTAAGAGTGCAGATTTGGCACTAAAGAAAATAAAGAGCTCCCAGATAGAAAAAGATGACCTAGTGGTTAAATCACATGATGAGAAATGGGGAAATCATGGTGTTTCATTGTTCTGCTACCAAAGAGCACCACCATGACTCCACCCACACCTCCATCACTTCCCCTGAGAAGGAGGATGAAATCCTGTGTACTCCAACAACGGCACCTAAGCAGCCCTAAGAAATTAAACCTTCTGTACTGTGTGGTTTCATCTGCTTTAAAGACCAAAAACCAGAGAAAATCCAGTCAAAAATTTGAAATATCCTCCGAAGTGGATGTAGGATCCTATGTCATGGTAAAACTAAAAGAAGGAAACAGCCCCTTTCTTCCAATAGACAGCAAAGATCCATTAATATCCTTAATGCTGTTCTTGTACTGTGTGATATTCCTGATTAGAATCTTCTTCAATCCATCTAATTTTTAGCTCTAGTTTAAAGAAATGCCAAGTTTTGCCTTTGCAGCTACATGAGCAGCATTAGCAGCCCCTTTGCCCCTCTCAGTTTCAGTACAGCCAAAACCACCTCCAGCTCTGCCTCTTGATCTTTGGCACCAAACTTGGCAGATTAATGCCTTAAACTGGGTTTGGATGATGCAAATGAAAATTACCTGTGTTTATAGATCCCTCTTTTGGAACTCTATTTCACAGACACTGCCCCTCCCTTTACCTCTGTCCCTTCCTGCCACCTTCCCTGGGCACTGCCGTGAATAAACGTTGGACTCCTGGCAAGACATACCAAACCAACAAATTTCCAGTTTTATTGCTTCCAACGGATCCTTGACATGGTATTTTAGCTGATCAGATACAAAATCCCTTGGGTTTTAGAAGTTTCCACATCTACTCACGCTGCTGCTGCTTTGTTTCCCTTCATTTTTGTCTGGCTCTGAAATTCCAGCTTGCCTGACCAAGTATTCCTTCACACACATTTAAAATCTACCCCTTTGCTGAACACTTTGAAACAATTTCCATGTGTGGGGCAAGAAAAGAAGGCTGTATCTTCATCTCTTTTTTTAGTCGGGTGTAAGGGACACTGATTTTGTTGTATTTCTTCTTGGGGAAACTAAAGCACAACATGATTTGATGCGAGGGATAGAGCCTGTGCCACCTGGGGCTGAAAACCTTGGCTGAAAACTTACATTTCTTTCCAGTTGCCCAGATGAACATCTCCAGAGTAGACAGACAGGGCTGTCTTTAATCCATACATTGGGCAGAGACTCAACAAAACACACCATCTGTGTGGCTCCCTTGGTTTCTCCACATTAGGAGAGAGCTGACGAGTCCTCTCAAGATAATTACTACAGAATAGTAAGTTTTTACTTTGTATTTCATCAATTTCCCTTATAAGGGCAACAGAGAAGTGACAGTTAATATTTAGGTTTGCCTTGAATGTCATCTAAGTAGAGGGAGTTTGCTATTCTAAGTCCTGAATTATATGGGAGGGGTTTTTTTTGTCCCACCAAACTTCTTAATGTTCCTCAGACTGCACATCAGTCGACACCAGGCTGCCAGATGTCAGAAATCAATACCACCAGCACATCTCCTGTTAAACATCACAGCCTTTACCCACACTTGCTAGAGAAGATTTTCATGATACTTGAATGTTCTCAATATTTTATAGGTTAATATCTTAACCAGCTGCATAACTACAATGAATATTCACTGAAATATCATCTCTGTGAAGTAACTCTGGGAATCTCTGAAACCCAGACAGACCTAAATTATGCTGCAGCTCAAAACTAAGAGAGCAATCTGCTAAATACCAGCTACGGTGCTCAAGAAATAATAAAGGATTCTTATTGAGTACCGGACCCAAAAATATGTTTGTCTCCACAATGAAGGAAATCAGCACATATCAGAACAATGAAATGTAATATTCTTGTGGCAGGAATGTCCCCCAGTAGCTGTCCAGAGCTCTGATGCTTCCCAGAGCCCCCATTGGGAGTGCCCAAGCTTAACAGTGCATTTCATTTGGGCACTGCTCCATAATGACTTTTTCCAGAACGAATGGAGCTGGAATGACTGTCCAGGCTCCATTCTGGGGATTGCTATTTCCCTTGACTTTACAGGAAATCCAGTTGTTGCTAAGCTAAATAATGCCATAAATTGCAAATGCAGTAAGTCACTGGTTTTTCATGCAGTCAGTTCTACTCAGGGGGGTCAAGTGAGAGCTGGTTTCTAAGCAGGGCTTAGCTCAGCTTCTGTCACTGCTGATGTTTTCAAATACTGACTCTTTTGTTAAATTCATGATCTTATTTACTTCATGTACTTGCACAGGCAACAAGGGAACCAGCATTGGTGTGGCTCTGCAGGAGCAGCTGTGTGGGATTAAACCAAAGCTCTGCAATACTGATCTGTAGCTCAGCATCAGCTGCTCTGTTACACAGCTCAGACCTGTTTCTGGCTGCAGCTGAATTTACAAATTACAACACCTAAAGGAAGGATTTACAAGATTTGTACAAAAGGTCATGTTATACAACTTGTTTCAGCAGGACCAATTTGCTAAATGTTTGAACTCTCACTTTTGATGACTATTTAGTATGTTAAGTAGAAGGAATATTCAATGTTTTGCCAGACCAAAACTAATCTTAGGAAGAATTTGGAGGAACCTAATTCACTACAGAACTCTTGAATTTGGTTTATTTTCTTCTGCAAGTAGATTCTTTGTGAACTACACAACAGCCCCTACTGGTAATATTAGGTTGTTTCTATATTATAAAAGTCTAATTTCTTAAATTCTCCATAGCTCTTATTTCAGTAAGTTTTTATGGAAATAAGGAGCATATTATGTATCTTGTGTGAAAAAAACCCAAGATCTTTAGAATAAATTCAGCACTATGTGTTGCCTTTCAATTTCATAGACTTTATTTACTATTTAGCATGTAAATAGGAGTCATAGAATAATTTTCTTTGTCAGCTATGCTGTTTGCTTCCATTGGATTCCCTCTAAAATAGCAATACTGCCCCTCAGTATATCCCTAGGTAGGGGAGCCAAACTGAACCAAGCCAAATGTACTCTCATAAAAAGAGAGTATTAGCTCCAGTGGACTCACCATGACCTGCATTTCACACCAAAAGAAATATTTTATTAAATTGTTAGAAAATTTATATGTTATTAGATTTTGGTTCATGCACAGTAAGAGTTTCCATTGCACTACACTCAGTGATTTGTACTCTCTTACACGCTCAGGTCTTTTCTGGATTGGGCTAGAACATTGTCAACTCAACTACATGTAAATATATTGTGAGTCTTTCCTCTGACAGGAGTTACCCTGAACCTCCTGGAAGGCACTGCCCCAGTGGTGTCCACCTGGGTAACCTGAAGTTCCTCAGTCAGATCAACCATTGTCCTTCACTGAATTCAATCACTATTTTCAAAATATGTTTTGTTGGCACGTTTAAGGACTCAAATTCATCAGTTCCATTACTTGATCTGTGTGCCACCCCTTGAAAGCCATTTCCCGTAAATCACCTGGATGTAACATCCCCTGATTGCACTCGGGAACAGACTCCATTCCCAGGGAGGTGTCAGCCCTGCCGAGAGGTTCTTACCTCTACCTCGCTGCTCTCCAGGTGTGTCACTGCTTCTGGATCATTCTTTCTGACTTTTCAGTCTGACACTGATTCACCTCCAGTACTCAGATGACTTGGATCAAAACTGCCTGGCATTTCTGAGCCCAAGGGAGCAGGTGCAGGATTTCTGCCCCAGCCCCCGTGGGTGCTGAGTGCCCACGGTGAACACGGAGCACCCGCTGCCACGGCACTGCCAGGGGGCAGGGAGGAGTGATGGCCAGGGCAGATGTTCCATACAGAGGTTCTAGATGTCTTTAAATGATGTAAGGAAGATCTGAAGCCATTGGAGAGCATCCAAAGGAGGCAATGAAGATGGGGAAGCGCCTTGATTTGAAGCCATGTGAGGACACTGAGGGCACTTGGTGTGTTCAGCTGGAGCAGAGGAGACTGAGGGGAGACCTCCCTGCAGTTCCAATGCCTGGGCAGGGGCAGAGGAGGGGCAGGGACTGAGCTCTGCTCTGGGGGGACCAGGGACAGCAGCCAGGGAATGGCTGGAGCTGTGTCAGGGCAGGCTCAGGTTGGATCTCAGCAAAAGGTTCTTCCCCCAGAGGCTGGTTGGGCACTGCCCAGGCTCCCCAGGGCAGTGGGCACAGCCCCAAGGCTGCCAGAGCTCCAGGAGGGTTTGGATGATCCTCTGGGGCACAGGGGGTGACTCTTGGGGCTGGGCCTGTGCAGGGCCAGGGGTTGGACTGGATGATCCTTGTGGGTCCCTTCCAACTGAGCACATTCTGGGATTCTGTAAATTGAACTAAAAGTTGTAAGTACTCTTTAGTTCTTGGTATCAGAAGAACAGCTGAAATCCTTTGGTTGTTTGGTTTTCCAGATTTCCTCCCAGTCCACCTTGCTCTGCCCTGTTTTTGCAGGTCGGGGGTGGAGAGGAGCCGCCCGGAGCAGCAGGAGGGTGCAGGGCCCCGCGGTCCCTCCGTGGGGCGGCAGAGCCGCGGATCCCCCGCCGGAGGAGCCGGGACTGCTGAGCACGGTACACACCCAGCACACACCACTGCCCCTCCTCAGCCATTTGGGAAATCAGCAGCAGAAAAACTAATATATTAAACCCCCAAACCACAAACCAGTCCTAATGAATCTTGAAATCCTAGACCTAGATAAAAGGTTGTATCCCAGATTTCCATTTCTCACTCCCACATAATTTTATATTTAATAAAAGGCTGGACTTAGTGCTATGATTTAAAACTGCTTTTTTTCCATATGAGTCATCTCACCCAAACTTTTTTTCCTGGCTTAAAAGTACAAAGTTTTCATTTCTTTGTAAATAAAAAGTCACAACCTCAGTTAAAATAATTTCCAAGGAAACTATTTACAGTTAATATTCTGCACAGCCACACTCCTTGGAAACATCCTGGCTGCTCCAGTAACTCTGGAAAGGTTCAACCTGTTTAGCACTAACTACTGGCATAACAGTGCCCAGTTTGGCTTCCCTTCAGTTATTTATTTATGGTTTTGGTCACATCAAGTTCAAGGACAACAAAAGTACTTTCCCAGCAATAACTCCAAGTTACAAGGCACCTTTCCTGCAGATTGGAGCTGTTTTAAGTGATAAAAAAGTCGGATTTTAGGTGTGGATTGAACAGAGCTGGCAAGCAGCTGCTTGGGAACGTGAAAAACAGCAACATGTAAATACAATTAAAGTTGCAGCACGTTCTTCTTCTGGTTAGACTTAGAAAGTAAACCTGCTTCAACAAATATTCTTATCAAATCACGCACTTTGCCGACTCAAAGACAGTTTCCACGTTAAACTACACTACCCATATTTCAAGTGCAAAGAGCTTTCTAGCAAAAACTTTTCATACAAATAAATTGTGGGGTTATAGATTTAAAAACAGAGAAAACTGTTCCATCAAATAAAAAAGGACTAGTTAGGCTGAAAAGAAAACTTTGTTCAAAGAAAAAAAATTGTGTGAACATCCAGGATTAGACCTAGGTATACTAGATAAATAAATTACTTAATTAATCTAGATGCAGGATGAATTCTCTTTTATGTATCTCTATACATACTCTTTAATAAACAAATTTCTTAATGCAGAAGAGCACTTGCATCAATGGAATTGAGTAAGATAATTCTGCATTAGGCAGTTTACAGATAAATGCCTAAATATCACAAAAAATAAAGTGCTCTATGATTTTACTGGCAGAATATTTTTTTTCAAATATCAGCTTAGTAAAAGAATTTTCATTAAATCCTGGCTTTCTGTTAAAAGAGGTGCATGAGAAGTTTTCCATTTCCTCTCTGGGTTCCAGCCCTGCCATCCCAATCTCCAAGGGGGATGTCAAAGCTCCTCTCTTTTGTGCCCACGGTCAGTGGGAGGGGAGGACATTCCCTTGCGTGAGGGGAAGAAAACCAAAAAGCATTACAAGGATCTTGGCTATTTTGGCCTGAAACCCTATTGAGATTCACATGCCTCTTCCTCCACATTCAAAAGCCTCATCTGAATGTCTGCTGTGCCAGATGCTGCAGTTCATGTGCTGGATCAGACCTTGTGGAGCTGCTGAGGAACCCGCAGCGCTGTGGGGTCAGTTCTCACAGCTGGGAGCTCTGATTGTCACCCCTTGGAACTCCCATGGCAGGAAAAGAAATAGGGATAAAAAAGGTTCCCTCCTAAGGTATCACAGGTTGCAAATAAAGCCTGGCTTTGTTTTGGCTGTGCCTCACAGAGAGCAAGTGCTGCTGATCCCTGGGCTCATGCAGTGTAAAGATTGCCAGGAACACACAGACATTCATCCTCTAATTAAAGAGCAACACTGCAGGAACCAAGCTTTGTTCCCGCTCAGACAATAAATTATTGAACACCATAACCTATAAATTAGGCACACTGAATGCCACTGGAATGAAAATTGCATTAACTTATGCTGAGTGTAAACCAGAACTAAAAAATAATGGGAAAAACAGGCCATTTTTTCCTTGTTGCTGTGAACGGAGCTGTGCAGGATCCTGGGATCCTGCACAGGTGGAGCTGCACTGCCCTCCCAAGGGTTCCCTGCCCCTGCAGACACACAGCAGTCCCTCTCATGATATTCCAGCTGGAGCTGCAGGTGCTGTGTCCTTGGAGTGAGGCAGAACATCCTTCACCCGAGAGTCTCTGCTGGGGCCCCCATCCCCTGGAGCCCTCCCTGCCTCTGCTGAACAAGCTCCATGTGCACAACACTTGTAATGCTACCCAAGGTCAAATGTGTTTCAATATTTGAAGAAATAACAGCATTTGACTTGATCACTCTGTTAGAATTCATTAAAACTGTCTAATTAACTTGACAGTGATTAAGGTAAATAATTATGAAATTCAAAATAACATTGACATTGGTTTAACCTGATGTCAGCTCAAAATACATGTTCAGAATAAAGATGTGACATGTGCTAAATGTACCAAAAAATACCCAGTAAGTTACAGGCATCATAATAATCCCCTAATCCTCATAATAATCCCAGTAAATGTCATCTTCCAACAAGAAGGAGTTAAATGCAATGGCTTTTATAAGATACAGCTAAAAAAGCATTGACATATTACTATAATAGTACAGGTATCTTTAAATACAGTGTAGACAGTCCATTTACAATTTATTTGGCATGTGAGGAGACATTAGGTTTGTGTAAAAAGGTATAACTAAATGTTAGATAGCTATGGGTCTAATATTACATTTATATAATAAAACTCCTGTCCTTAGAAAACACAATGAGTAAATGAATTAGAGAACATTGATGTCCAATTTCTGCCCTCTGAATATGTGTTCAGCTGGTACAGTGACTGTGCAACTCTAGTCTTACCCAGCATGACCCTTTCTCTTCCCTCTCCAAAAGTCTATATTCAGTTGTATCCTTGAGCAGTAATTGCCCCCCAACACCACGCCAACCCTTCACATTTATCCTTAAATTAGAGTTACATAGAGAAATAAGAGAGTTGAAGTGAAATAGCTACAAATTACCTGCAAAAGGGCACTGAAGTGTTCAAGACTTAAAATAAGGATCTTTGCAGCAGCTGCCCTGCCACTCCTTTAAAGCCCCTTTCCATGGATGCTGAAGGGCCCTGCCTGGGCTTTTAAAAGTGGGGTTTTAAAACCTCCCCTCTCTCTGGCTCAGCCTCAGGTTTAAGCACATACAGCACGTTGGGGTGGTTGGTGTGTTGCTGAGGGGTGGTTGTGTCCCACAGAGGGTGAGGGTTGTTGTGTCCCAGCACAGGATCAGGGTTGTTGTGTCCCACAGAGGATCAGGGTTGTTGTGTCCCACAGAGGATGAGGGTTGTTGTGTCCCAGCACAGGATCAGGGTTGTTGTGTCCCACAGAGGGTGAGGGTTGTTGTGTCCCACAGAGGATGAGGGTTGTTGTGTCCCACAGAGGATCAGGGTTGTTGTGTCCCACAGAGGATCAGCTGTTCCGCTCCGTGGAGGGCCAGGCTGCCTCTGACGAGGAGGAGGAGAAGTGGGCAGGGGACCAGGCCCCCCAGCCGGGCCACAGGAAGAAAACACTGGCCAAGCTCCCTTGCTGCAGCAGTGGGTAAGTGTAATTCATTGATTGGTGCTATTTGAACCCCTTGCAAAGACAATGTCATGACCTGAAGATCCCGTGGCTTCAGGCAGAAGCAGCACTGCTGTGTGGCAAAGTCAAGCAGAGCCTTTTGCCCCACCTTTGTTGTTCATGGGGAACAACAATCCTGGATGCTCTTAGAGCCCTCCCCAGTATCAGCTGGACACTCATTTGGGATCTGTGCTGCCAGGAGTTCTGAAGGAAAACTGGCTTTTACAGCCATGGAGCTTCACTGAGAGGTTTAAGAGAATCCCAGAATCTGCTGGGTTGGAAGGGACCCACAAGGATCATCCAGTCCAACCCCTGGCCCTGCACAGACCCATCCCCAAGAGTCACCCCCTGTGCCCCAGAGGATCATCCAAACCCTCCTGGAGCTCTGGCAGCCTTGGGGCTGTGCCCACTGCCCTGGGGAGCCTGGGCAGTGCCCAACCAGCCTCTGGGGGAAGAACCTTTTGCTGAGATCCAACCTGAGCCTGCCCTGACACAGCTCCAGCCATTCCCTGGCTGCTGTCCCTGGTCCCCCCAGAGCAGAGCTCAGTCCCTGCCCCTCCTCTGCCCCTGCCCAGGCATTGGAACTGCAGGGAGGTCTCCCCTCAGTCTCCTCTGCTCCAGCTGAACACACCAAGTGCCCTCAGTGTCCTCACATGGCTTCAAATCAAGGCCCTGCACCATCTTCATTGGTGTCACTAACCTTCTGTTTTTAATGCACATATAGGTGTGATGAGAAGACCTGGAAAAAACTGATGTCTTACTTGGAGAGCAGCAGCACTGCTGGCTGTGAGACTGAGACAGCCCCTGCAGAGCCCCCCGAGAGGCTCCCACAGCTCCCGGGGCAGCTGGAGCTCAGGGGCCATGGAGGGGAAAAACTGGAACCAGACATGGAAGAGGTAATGAGTGTGAAAGAGTTATTTATGTCTCTTTAAGTAGCCGAATTTTTATATATATGTATTTATTCTGGTCATTCTGCTCTCTCTTGCTGGTGTTTCTCATTGTGCCACTGGTTTGTCAGCTCAGAGCTCTCACACTTTCCTCTCGCACTGCATTTGTGGTTTGGTTCCTACCCGAAGCTGCCTTTGGAGGATGAGATGTGCCCCAGGCACAGTCAGACACAGGCTCTGCGAGCCCTGTCCGTGGTGTACCTGCTTTGGTGTGTTCCCTGAGGGCTGGGGCTGCTCCCCTGCAGACAGAAGAGCTGCACCCCAGCCGTGGGGTCCCTGTGGGCAGCGTCCGGGTGTTCCTCAGCTGTGCATGGAATTCCTCACATCCTAGGGCCTCCAGCTTCTCTGGGAGCACAGCAACTTTGCAGTACATCCCTCCAGCTGACTGAGACTCGGGGGCTCAGTGTTTTGGAATCCTTTGGAGTAAATCAGCTGGTTTACTCTGGCTGTTTCTTGGGCCTAGACCAATATATTTATAAATAAAAATAAAATTAATTCTCAGGTTTAGCAGCATGTCCAGCTTTCCTTCAGCAGAGCTTATAACCACGTAGTCAAAAGTCTCAGTGCCATATCCCAGCAGTCCCATGTCATCTTGCTCTTTAAATACTGCAAACTTCAGCCACTGATGGACACAGATTTCATGCCAGCAATCTTTCTGTGAAACAAAACCAGTACGGATGCATTGCTTTGATCTGCTTTCTCCTAAGGTTCGGTTAGTGCTTGTTCAGTATTTTATGCTCCATCTTTAAACAAAGCATAAAGATTTCAGTAGTTCTGAAAGGATTCTATGAATCAGTAAAATATTTAAAGTAAGGGTAAAATATTCGACTTCTTTACATGTCACCACGCTTTGTGTTTTATCAGTATTTCATATAATTTTCTCCCTTGACTAAATGAGTTTATTTGTGAGGGGAAAAAATTAAAACCAGAATAAAATCCTACTCGTGTCTTACCCAGTTTTCAGTATTCAGTGACAATTTACCCCTGCAATATTCCTTAGAGCAACACAAAGCTTCCTTCTGTGCTTCTTAACACCAGCCCATAGAAAAACCTTCCTGTAGGTAGTGCCATTTTTAATCCCTTTTTCCAGAGTTACTCATCTTCTTCTGCAGTACCACACTGCCCTCTTTTTCATCTCTGCTGATGGATATTAGTTCTGTGCACCTTGTTTGGAAAAGCACCATTATTGGTGCTTTGGCACAAAATTCCAGAAGGAAAATGGAATCTACTGTTCTTGATTTAAAGACAAGCAGGGAGGCACCAACTCACTGCAACAGGAATTAAATATCAGCAGGATTAATCATTTTGAGCCTGTTAGGAATTTATCCTTAAGCCCTCCTACTTTTTTTTAGTCAGTATTTATACTTGTGTACAGTTATAGGGGAGGGGTTTGATGCTACAAAACAGACACACAAATGATAAGTAATTCCTTTCAAAAAGGTGACTGTTCCTGTAATCAACAGAAAGCAAATTGGAAGGCTGATAAATGCTCTGTATCGAGTACCTTGCAAATAAATATCTTGACTTAATAAATAGACCACCAACACTTTTCTCTGAACCTGACGAAATTACCTTATACATTGTTCTATATACTTCTATTTGTACCTGCTCAGGGCTCAGAATTAGACAAATAACAACAAGGCTAACAAGTAATAAGCTCAGCAGGCAAGTGAAGGGCAGCACTCTCAAATGCTGATTAGTAATTGCTTCAATCTCAGGCTTGTAAAACCAGAGGATGAAAGAGCTCTGAAATTTGTCATGTCTAGAAAGTTCTACTTTCCAACAACCCAACATTTAAAAATAGCTTCTACTGAAGACAGGGTGTTGACCTGGGGATAATGGGTGGAGAAAACACGAGTGAGTTCTGAAAATAAAGTGATATGCTGCCAAGGGTAGCGTTGCAGAGAAATGCCAATTCTTTTCTATAAATGCTTGCACACAAACTGCCAACTTAATTAAAAAGACAATTAGTTTATGACCTGCCATACAGGGTCAAATGAAAAGTTCATCCCAACATCACGCACCTGCAGTTGCTCAGAGAAAAGCAAAGAGAAGCAGTGCAGAGGATGCTCCCAAGGATGCTCTGGGGACAGACATGTCCTGGGCTGGGTGTTGGAGGGAGCACTATGTTTAATGGCCAGGGTTGGAGCTGTTTACCATGGATTTACCCTCCCTTGCCTTAAAGCTGGCAATGCTTTTGGTATCTCAGGGCAAGGTTTTGAGGATTTGTTTTTGTTGCCTTTAAATCTGCTGTCTGAGCATCCACCATCACCTTGGTTTTGTACTTGGGAACCAGCAAATAATCTTTCCCTCATCGTTTTGCAGACTCCTCCTACCAGAACTACTCCCTCAGTTATCACCATTCCTAGTCTGCCTTGGCAGAGAACATCTGTTATTCCATTTGATTCTTCCATGAACTTTCCAAGCTCTATTACTCTTTTTTGAGTGAGAACAGAAGTTGTGTTTAGTATTCCAATGCACTGGCTGCTGAGCTGTGTTCAGGAGGTTGCAGCCCCTCTGGATCTGCTTCCCAACATCACTGTATTCCTACAACATGGTGTGCCTTTCCTACCTGCCTCACTGTGCAGTATTGACACTGAATTTCATCTGATCTTTTATTGCCCAGAGCTGTTCCATATTCATGAACTCCTTCTCTAATTCTTTACGGGCAGCTTTGGTTTTGATTGCCCCCCAGAAAATTGTATTGACAGCAAACTTAACCACTTTGACATTCACCTTTTTAATTTATGAATATGCTGAACAGCTCAGGTCTTAGCCCAGCTCCTTGTGAGACCCTGAGAATTATCATGGAACCCTCAGTCCTGGTCTCTGTGCTCTGCCCATTGTTTAACCAGCCCTAGGTCTGGCAGGATCTGTGCTCCTGCCCTGTGGCAATTAATACTTTATTTTTTTTTTTTTAGTCTTTGGTGATGAATCTTATCCAAAGCTTTTTGCAGATTTGAAACACACCCTATCGACTGAGTTAACATTATTAATATATATTCATAAACCCTTCCAAAGAAATCTAATAGATTCTTCACTATGTTCTTCTGTGGATTCACCAAGTGCCTCCTCCATTCCTATCAATTTGCCTGGAAGATTTAGTGATTTGAGGGGATTTGCTGTTCCTCAGACCATCTCTGCACCCTCCCAAGAACTGGTGCTCCATTTGCCACTTTCCAGTCCTCTGAGGGGGACAGGATTTAGAAGATTAATTGCACAGCACAGTTCAGCACTTCATTCTGTCCTTCTGCCACTGTTTTTTGCCCATTTTGGAAATGTTTCTCAGGTTCACTGCTTGTAAAAATGGCCTCCTCAACTTCTGTGCAAAGCACAATAGATTTTATCTTACAATCCTTAGGGGATTTTTGCATACTAACTATTAATTTTCCTAAATTTATTTGTACACACTACTCCAGAGCTCAGATTTGCCCTCTGGCATTCCCCCCTTTTAGAAGAGGGTTGGATACCAGCAGCTGACTTCTCCTCAAAGCTGGGTTTGGCAAAACAATATTTGCATTTCACAAACAAAGCTCAGAGCCCAAACCAGGCTTTGCTGAGGGATGTGGACAGAGCCAAGAACAAACCTATTCCTCTGAGCCCTGTGACTTAACTACTGACCATCCTGATCCCCTCAGGATACAGGTTTTAAAAGCAGGTTATGCTTAATTATTTTCATTATCTTAATACAAGTGTTGAGGTGACATCAGGTGCTAGATGTACCCTAGCTGGGGAGAACACGTTGGGAGAATGTTTTAATAGTGCACTGAGCTGCTTCCTCCAAGCATTTAAAGACCAACATTGCATACCCACGTGTGCCAATGAAACACAGGCATCAGGAAATCAGCAGCCTTATGGGTGGCCAGGTGGCTGCTAAGGTGTAATTGCTGGGGAAAGCAGTTTATGAGCTACAGCACGGGAAACACAGGTACAACGGGCTCTGTAGGAGCAGTGAAAATGAAGAGGAAGAAGAGGCAGCAGCAACAAGAACAAATTCTGTCCTTTTTCCCTCTCTGTTATTTGATATGACACTGCCTTGGCTGCACAGGGCACCATAACAGCTTCCTGTGGTTGTAGAATCACAGAATAGAACCAGAGAATCATTTAGGTTGGAAAACCCCTCTAAAATGATCGGGTCCAACCATCCCCCAGCACTGCCAAGGCCACCAGTAACCCATCCCCAAGTGCCACATCCATATAGCTTTTAAATCCCTGTAGGGATGGGGACTCCACCACTGCCCTGGGCAGCTGTGCCAGGGCTGGACAACCCTTTCCTTGAAGAAATTTTCCCAATAATCTAAACCTCCCCTGGTGCAACTTGAGGCCATTTCCATTTTACCTGGGAGAAGAGACTGACCCCCACCTACTAAAACCTCCAAAAGGTACCTGTCAAGAGCAGTAAGGTCTGCCCTGAGCCTCCTTTGCTCCAGCCCAGTTCCCGGGGCTGCTCCTCCTGAGGTTTGTGCTCCAGCCCCTTCCCGGGAGGTGTTTACAGAGCACAGACAATCTGCACTGTGACAAGGGAAAGTACACATTTAATTCACTCCTCTGAAGGGGGTGCTCAGACAGGGCTGCTGAAATCACCTTGGCAGATGGGCCAGAGGAAGGGATCCAAACCTCTGGATCGCTCCAGGGAGCTCCAGTGCTCCCGGGGCACGGAGAGGGCAGGGGGAGCTAATGGAACAGGCTCATCTCCATCTGATGGGGGGAAAAGTGCCAATTAACACACACCATCGGCACTGTCAGAGACTAAAATGACCTTCTAGAAGGCTTGGTGTGGATGAGGGATTATTTTCTTTTTCACTCAGATGACACTTGTGTTTTAGGGAACTGAAGTTCCCTCTCATCTATTAAAATTCATTAGGATACAATGTACACACACACACACAAATCTACTCTCTCCTTATTTCTAAACCTACAAGGAAGATAAAAGATGACAACAAAAAGGGATTATCAAAGCCAGCACATTTGGCATTTACCCTACATGATTTTTTTTCTCAGTGTAAAATTAATAAATATATGTAGATTGTGTTTGCAACAAGAAACTACAAAAAAAATATATGATTTTAGAATCAGGCACAATAATAATTGATAGGTTTACTTTTATTAACAAACCTGAAATCTCTCAGTGCTCTTAATGATTTAAAATTAATCATTTAAGTGCTATATTTTTCAAATAATGCTTTTCAGGCTCTTTTTAGCAATTTGGCCATGTGTCTGCAACAGGCCTGGGTCTGTGACAGACAAAAGTATTTACTGGTGCAAATGGTGTGGCAGCTTTGTAGTTCAAAATATGTCACATAGGTTTTACATTGAAAGAAAAAGCAAACCTGAACATTTTTTCACAGAGAAGTGTGAGACAACTGACAGGTCAGTTCAGCTTTGGAAGGTCCAGGTCTGAGAAGACTCCTCTTGCCCAGAATTTCTGAAGTGTCCAAGTCCTGTTGAATCTGGACTTCTCTGTGCTCAGCTGCAAATTACCACTGGGCCAAGCATGAGTTGCCAGTGTTTAGCAGAGCCAAAATTTTTTTTTTTCCTTAAGACACTTTTTTTTTCTTCTTTTAACAAAATACTTTAAAGACATTAGCTAATTAATTCCCTTCGTGTTTCACTGAATGTACAGATGATTGCTACGTGGGAGTTGCAAGACAAAGATACGATAACCTTGGTGAGGGCACAAGTTGGTTGTGCTTTATGGAGGACAAGGGGAATGAAAAGGATTAGGAAGCTGAAATAGTGGTAGTATTTAAAACTCCTGAATGATCTGCCTGCACCCAGTGTTGAGTGAACTGCCACTGTGCACAAGAGCAAAGTATCCATTTCCCAGCAACTGCTGATTTCTGGGGGATGTTAAAGAAATGTCCTTCCTTTCAAGAGACTCTTCTGGAGTGAACTGGCATTTGCCACACAGAGGGGGAAACTCAGCTTTGCAATTCTTGGGCAAGAAAGGAAAAGCTCCAGTGCTTTCAACTGCCTGTGTCCTTGTCCAGGTGACAGGGCCACTGCTGGGGGAGCTGCAGCAGAAGGTGGAGGAGGCCGAGCTGCTGAAGATGGAGCTGCAGATGCTGGAGACGGAGAGAGTGAGGCTGTCACTGGTGGAAGAAAAGCTCATGGATGTTTTACAGCTTCTTCAACAGCTCCGAGACTTGGTATGGCAAGAAAGCAGCTCTGAGACTTAAAACTGGGGCTTATAGTGTCCCTAGAACTGCTTTTTATAGTGTCCTTCCCAAACTAAAAAGCATGTTCATCCCTTCTATTAAGAGCAAAATCCTTTACACCAGGACGTGTTCTTACATGTGTTTGCCCTGGGAAGTGCCTGGTGACTGCAGAAAGCTGGGGCTGACTTTCTAAGAGAAGCCCAGAGATCTCCTTGAAGCTGAATCTCAAGGCTTGTTACCCTCTATACAAATATTTAGAGGGAATGAGGAAAACAAAAAAGTGAGGAAACAAATTCTAACAGATTTATTTTTTCTTCTAGAACAGGGCCTTTGTTTAACTGCATCCTAATATAAGACTGATTCAGTATTAAAAGGATAAAACCCCCTTTTATATATCAATAAGGTATTTTTTGAACAAAGTTTCTTACCCAATTAATAATCCAAACATGAACTTACCAAAACTGATGCAATAACACCTCAGAAGTACACGGCCAGTACAGCAGTTCAGCCCTTTAGAAGAGAAGTTTAAATCTCCTGCATGAGACTGATAATGGTTAAGGCTCACCCAAAGAGAGGAAAATTGGATAATCTGCAGGACACTGAGTATGTTGGGAGCTGCACAGTACTGCCACAAACTGATTCCTTGGATAATCAATTTTGAGCAGAGCTCTGCCCAGTCTGTGTGAGGTGAGAATGGTTCCTCAGACCATCACTTTACTTTGAGGTACATTAATATTCCACTGATGAATCCAAGGAACAAGTGCAATCCCTCATCATTTTGTCACTTCTTTAGCACTTGACATGGAAACTCTACTTTCATACTGCAAGTCTGACACGTGTGTCACTCAGGATCCAGTTAAGGATTAAACTAGTAAAGACTGTGCCTGGCAACAAGCATAATAACCTTTTGTGTCAGGCCTTCAACATGTCATTTGCTGGTCAGTTGTAATATTACAAATCATCTCTGCTCAGGGCACAGCCCATCACACAACGTGCCCTGTCTCAGCGATAGCAGCTCCCACTGCTAACCCCTGCTGGCACGGTTCTGTGTGCTGCCAGCTCCCACAGCACCCCACAGCACCATGAGCACTCACAGCATCCCCAGGGGAGTTAACAAGAACCCCCTGTCCCTGCTGGGATGCACTTCAGACAAAAGGAAGCTTATCCATCAGAACCTGTGGGTTTAGGTGTCACTTCCCCACCACATTCACCTTCGTGTTTTGAAGCCCCTCCCTTGCAGCAGGAGGTGCCACAAGCACTGACTGTCCCGAGGGACACACAGCCCTGGTGGGACTGTAGAACCTCCCCTGTGCTGCAGAGCCCAGGTGTGAGCCCAGCCCGGCACGGAGTGCCCTGCAGCCTGCCCAGCTCCCCTGGCAGCCCACAGATGGCACAGCACCGGTGGCACTGAGCAGGGCCAGCGCTGCCTGTGCTGCAGGGGAGGCAGCAGCTTCTTCCCAGAACTGCTCCCATCCATCCCCACTTCCTGGAGTTTGGACAGGAACGCCCTGTCCCCGCAGATCCAGGCTCTAATGGAGCTGGTTGCCAGCCCACCTCCCAGAAAGCACGCAGCACATGAGGAGAGTCTGCTTTCCCAGGCACATGATGGAATGTCCCAACAGATTTCTTGTGTAAAACTACCACTGGAAAAGACCATCCAAATGCTAAGTAGTCTTTACAATGCTCTCACGTAGGCTAATATTTATTGCATCCCAAGGTGCTGCAGTGGCACTGCCCCTGACATACACAACCTGTCTCCCAAGGGTCCAAGCAGCCCCTTTCTGCAATTACACCACCGGGTCCATCCGTTCTCATCCCACCCCAGGCCTGGCAGAGACTCAACAAGCCCTGCTTACATTTCTTGCCTTCTAGAGTTCTTTAGGCACAGCTCTGGAAAATTCTGTATTTTCCACTGAACGGTTGTTATTTCTCTTTTTGTACAGCCATAGGAATGAACTGCAGCCCTCCACAAACTGCTATTATTTGAGCAGTGTTTAAGATAAAAATGCTTGAAAATAAAGCAAATATCAACTCTCGTGTTACTCAGGACTCAGTTTCATTTTGATTTACTTTTCCAATGTAAATGCCCTGCACAGAGGTTTTGTTGCATACATGTAAACTGGTGTAGGACATATTTGTGCCATAACATTGTTTTTTTTTTTTACAGAACATCTCCAAGAGAGCCCTGGGGAAAATGTTGCTGAGCACTTTGGAATCCTGCCGTGCCCCCCAACCTGGTAAGCACATAAATCATGTGTGAGGACCAGAAGGGTCCTTTGGGGACAAATACCAGATAATACACAGATGAAGAAGAAAAAGATATTTCAAATACTGGGCTACAGGCTGGGGAGAATGAAGCACTATGCAAGGAGAGCACCTGTAGAAAGTGATGCTTTCTAGTCTGTGACACATTAAAAACATCCAGGGCACTTATTTAGGCAAATTTTAGGCAGAATTTTGCCTTAGGAGGGCAACTCAGTACCCCACTAGTGTTTGTAGAGCTTCACTGATATGAGCAAGTGGAAAACATAACCAAGTATGTAAGGCAGCTATTTATGGGCTTTGCTGTCCCACTGTGTGTTGAATTCCTTTGCTGCCACACAAACCAGATACACAAATCAGAACAGTTCTGTACAGAAACCAGATCAAACCTGCACTCCTCTAATAATAACCTTTTGTGTTCCTCTTATGAAGATTAAACTTGCAGACTCTGTCCCTTGACAGTGCTCTGCTGTGCCAGAGCTGCCTTTGCAGGAGCCACACAGGGATCACAGCCCCGAGGTGGAGGTTTGATTACTTTGTTCCTATTAGCAGAACATTTGTACTTACCTTCAAGAAATGAACATCCTGTACCAAGAACATGGCTTGGAGGTGCTTTTAATAGGCAGGCAGGAGTCAAAGACAAGATTATGAAAGACCAGATAAGGCCTGGGGGGTTAGATTTGGAGAATTTTATTTACAGGGATTAGCAAACCCTCCTGGGTTTTGCAGTTTCAAAGCCATGTTGTTACTCCTGCCCAGAAATCCAGGGCACAGGATGTGCTGTTCCAGCACAGAGAAAGCAGAGAAAAGAAGACAAAGACAGAGCTTTGTGGACTCCAGGACACCAACACAGAGGGGAACTGAGCTATAGGTCTGATGCTCTCCTGATGAGAACAGAAGAGGAGACTGTTTGTATCCACAGCACACAACGTCCAGAAGATCCTGTTCCTTACCCTGCACAGGAACATGGACTCCCAGTGATGCTGCTGAAACAAAGCTCCCCCCTCTGGAACAGCAGCACAGCTCAGCTCCTAAACCTCCAAGCGTGGCTCTGTCCACTCTGCACCACCACTGCCACCAACAGCTCCCCTTCTCTGCTTCCCTTGTCTGGCTCTGCATTTGAGAGGAGTTAAGCAGCTCTCCTAAGGCTTTGTAATCAAACATCTTTCTTTGACCATCCAAGTGGATGGTTGGAATGGCAGCTCTCAATTGTGACGTGAAATAGTCTTTGTTCACACCATTAGGAGACCTCAGTGGGCAGAGTATGAAGCAAGAGAACTAGGAGAGAAAAGAGTCAAGCATAGTTTTGCTCTCATTTTTTAATGGACAGGAATTCATTATTTGGTAGCAAAATTTAGGCATTTTATGATAATTACTTGAAATGGCAGCTGTGAAGAAAAGAGCTTGTTACAATTGTGAAACTCAACTTTCTGTCTTTGTTCAAATGGTAATGTTTGCAATTTTCTCTTGAAAGGCAAAGCCCACCTATTTGAAGTCCTGGATACCCTTCAGCAGGAGCTGGCAGCCTGTGAACTCCTGCACCAGGAGCCTGTGGAGCAGGGGCAGAGCCCCCAGTCCCTGTCCAACGCCCTGGTGATCTCGTGCTGAGCCGCAGCACCAGCGACACTGCCCGGCCCAGCACCCCCTGGGCATCACACAGAGGGGGGACACTGGCCAGCTCAGCCACCCCACACTGCCCAAGGGCACCTGAGGGATCCAGCCCTGCCGTCCAAGCTGTGCTGCCCTGGGAAGGGCAGCAGTTCCTTGGCTGATTCCCAGCTCTGTCTTGGTGAGGGTTCAGTGCCTGTCTCCGTGAAACCTCCCCATCCCTGGAGGTGGCTCTGGGACTGTCCTGGGTCACCAAATAAAACTGTTCCAGACACACTCACCTGACCACTGAGACTTCCAGCCCTGTGAGCTGGGCACAGTTTTTAGCTTCCGTGAACCTGTGTTATCCCTGGCAAGGAAACAGCTTCCTGAACGTCCAAGTGACAGTGACTGTGTTACAAACACACACAGCAGTGGGTGCCAGTAGCGCAAGTTTTAAGGGCTTTGTATTTCTGATTCAATTATTCACCTTATTTAACTCTGAAGTCAGATTTGTTATTGCTCTGCTGAATTTTATATTTGCAATTGCAGAGATGCCTTAGAAATCTGCAACAGTCTCTCCTGACAATAGTCAGACTTTACATAAAAAGTCAAATTTAACTGCTTGAAAAACATCCAAAGCAATCTTGTTCCCAGGATCTCAGGGAAAGGAAGGGTTGGAAAATTCCCTGTGCAACAGCTGTTGTTGTCGTGTTGGCAAAGACACGTGCAGGGCACAACTTGGTTCTCAAGTGTAGTTTCTCTCAGTGCAACTGAACAGACACAAAGCCAGACCCCACGTGCAGGAAAATTAGTGTCAAAAGCTGGGCCTAATCACAGTGCCACACAACGTTTTAACCAGCAATAAAATAATTCCTGGGGACAAAAGCACAAAAATAGGTTGATTCCAAGATGCTTTTGCTGTTTCATTCAGCTGTCAAACATGGAAATTAAAGCAGCAGAATTCCTAAATGATCCTACTGAATTTGTGTTATTAAAGGATACACTGTAGATCATTTAAGAATGTGGAATGATTTGCCTGAGAGAATGCCAGCCAGGAAATAAGACCATTCAACTGTGCCTGTATGATTTTCTCCCATGAAAATGGTTTTATACAGGAATAAGGTCCACAATGCAGTCTGGGGAATAAGAAGATTTCTATTCTTTCTCTTCAGAATACACTGTGTAGCTCACACACAACTCCATTAAAAATTGTGATACATCAGAGCCCTGTTGGTAACCAAAATTTGCATTATTTTCATTTTACAGGACAAAAAAAAGGTGTTTTGCAAACAATGAAACAAACTCTATTCAGTGGGGTTTTACCTGGTTGGGTGCTTGTGGTTTGGGTTTTTTGTAGTTTAACAGAGGAAGAATTTAAGAATTGATGTATATTGTTATATTTTTCATAAAGATAAATTAGAGAGGACATACATACATAGAACAATATTCACCCTGTAAGAAACTGTCTACTAATACTAAATATATTACTAACATAATACCAGAGCATCATATACTATTACTTAGTATATACTAAAGAATATGCTCATATTATACACTACAAAACCCACCCCCTGAATGTGCAGCAGATAACAACTGAGATGAGCAGAAGTTAACTCCCTGCTTGGGTTCATTTTCTAAAAAACCAGAAGTGTCAGCTTATGTTTTGTGCAGGTCTCAGGCTTTCCCAGGAATATTGTATGAGTCCAAAGAGAGAAAATGCCAGGATCTGTGTGCACAGATGAGACACCTCAGGAGCAGGATTGTGGTGGCTGTGGATACCCCTGTGCTGCAGGATACTTCCACCCTGGAATTTGCAGTATTTCCTGGATCCACTCTCCACACATGTGCATTTGTGTGATATACACTTATGCACACCTTGAGGTTGCTGTGCTCACTGTACACTTTTAGCACACTTTTTAGCATCTTTTTCACCACTGAGTTCCCACTTCACTTTCTAAAGCATTTCTATAAACCCAGACAATTAAATAAACTAATGTCCTGATGCCAAACTGAGGGAGCAGCAAGATGGGCTGAGTTAGTGCTGCCCAGCTTATCCAAGCACCCAAACTGGAACTGGAAACCAGAACACGTCACTGCAAACCTGAGCTGGTGTTGAGGGAGATGCAGTTGAGATAAAAGGAAGCTTTTGTGAATAAATAAACAGCATTTCACTGACGCAAGAAGCAGCAAAATCCTGTCTTGCTAAGTTAGCTTCAAATCCTGTAACACTGTTATTTCTTTAAGAAATGCCTGTGCCAGAATAATTTGTGATACATCAGCATAAGCCGATTAACTTTTCAGTGATAAAAGCTGATTATTTTAACTCCAAAAAGTAATTCATATGGACCAAATCAGACTTGCACTTCTTCAGGATGGATCAAGAAACAGCCCTCAGCCAAATTCTTGCTGTAAGTCAGAAGCAATGCAAAGCACTTGAAAGACCTTACAATTGGTTTTTTTCTTGTATCTCTCACCTTCGTGTTTTACCCTGAGCCTGTCAGTAGTGTTGCTGAGGCTGCTAAATATTTCATACAACTCTCTATAAATATGTGATTTGAAATCAGTGGGACTGAGAAATTTCTAGCCCTACCTCAAAAGCAGGTGGGCTTCCACAGGGTGATGTGCTGTGTGTACAGGGAACATCTACCCAGTTTGAACGGATTTGCTAAAAAAAAAACCCTATATGGCAAAACCTGAAAAGATAAAGCACAATCACAAGCCTTCCTTTTAAAAATTACAAGCACAAATGCAGTGTTTGAAATTTCTGCAAACACTTTGGTTTATTGTGTGTTTACCAAATGGTAACAAACGGCCACTTTCTTGCATCTTGGCTTCTCAGTAAGGAAAAAACCATCCCAAGGAGAGTGCACGTGCTGTAAACCTGCTTTCCAGCTGCAGCTTCGAAGGGTTCCTCAGGGTTTGCCTCTGGAAGGGTCCTGTACTGCTTTTGCAGTTAAAAAGCCAAGGGACATCTGTAAAAGGGCAAAAGCAACCTAATTATGTTGGCTTTGAGCCTCTCTGGCTGAACTCTGGTGTGATACCACGGCTGAGATTTTATCCCTCCCCATCGTGCTCATTCCTCATTTCAGTAGATTTTTCTCCTCAAGAAAAATTCCAACTTACAGAAAGGACAGTTTGCTTCACCCCAGTTGTGTCTGCTGGAGATTCCATAAGGGAATTTACCCCAGCAAAAAAGTTATTCCTCATCACCTCTTCTATATGTCCTGTCCTGCAGAGCAATAAATCCCTCAGACTCCCCAGTTTTGAAAGGCTGGTGTCCAGTCCTCCCCTAGATGAGCTGCCTGGGGTATTGTCAGCACCTTCACTCCTCCAGGTCTCAGGGGATGTGACTGCTCACACGTCCCCTAAACCTGGCAGTCTATTCTCAGAGAATTTACATTTCCTTACCCTTAACAGTTCAGCTCTAGGTCCCCACAAATTGGGGTCAAATTTGCTTTCCTAGCAGTCACCATCTTCATTTATTAGTTTTCTATTAAAACTGCACACTGGCCCTAAAAGGAAGCTGGGACATTTCCTCCACTATCTTCACTATGTTTCCACAAAAACTCTCTGATGTGACTTCACTCTCCATCTCCCTCCCCTCCCAATGCCCTCCTCACTTCCCCTTTGGCTGTTATTCCCACTGGGATAACCTCAGGCTCTGCACACCTTTTACGTTTTTCAAGAGGAGTTTCCTCTTCCCATTATTTTTTACCTTATATGAGCTATTAACTATTATTACATTGAAGCCCACCTGTTCTGTAAAGTTATTCAATAATTACCTCATTTATTTCCTTTGGGGCTCTCTGGAGTGTTTGGCAGTGACCACTCAGCACAGATTAAATGGAAATAAATGGGACAGTCACTGAATAACTTCATATGTCAGGAGTCCCACTGCAGTGATGGAAGGCAGTTTGGGTTAAGAAGAAGGGAACACTTTTAAACAGTGCTGCATAAGATGGAATTGCTTGGTATGAGTGAGTGACAATAAACTTTCCCAGCATGTGTGTGACACTTTGCATTACCAGCCTAAGGGTCTCTCTCAGATTTATAATTTCATGGAGTTTAAGGCACTGAATGAATCCTTTAGTATTTACATTATCTTATTTTCTTAAGAATTTTATGTATAACTCCACAAACTATAAAACCTATAGAGTGTGTTTCTTAGTCTGAAATTCAATTTAAAACATCCTTATTTCCTTAATTACACTTTACTTTCAAGATACCAGGATTTGCAGAGTTCCTGTTTGGTTTCTATTCTACTTTTCTGTCTGTTCTTTTTGCCTCAGGATGCCAAAACAGCTCAACTTTATTTTGTCCCCTTGACTTTTTCAAATTACCATTTTTCCTTGGGGTTGAAAGCATCAGACACCACAGCTGGACTGAGGACCTCAGCTCGAACCTCCTTGTTCTACACAGCTCACTCACTTCTTCACTGAGAAACAAACTTCCCTAAGTGAGACTCACTTCTTAAATGGCATTTTTTCCTAAAATGCTTGTATTTTTCTAAACTGTAGCTATTTCAGACCCTGTCTGAAGAACTGCCTGCTCCTAGACTTAATCCCCCATCTATTTTCAGACTGTGTTACAGTAGAACAAATGAAGAGAATGAAAAGCCTCAGAGGAAATTCTAGAATTCCTGGCTGGCATTTCGGACTCAGTCACCAGCCAGACAGCAAATTCATGACCAGTTTTCCTCCTGCCAGTACAACCATATTTTTGTCTGATGGAACTCACAAAAGGGGAGCAAAGTAGGCAAAGGTCTGGTTAAATTTCCACATCTGCCAAAACCTGGAGCACAGAATACAGACAGCTGCTGAAGTTAAATAATAGCCTAGGAAATAAAAAAGAGTGAACTCAGCATGAAAAGAAGGCTTTGGGGAGACCTTGGAGCCCCTTCCAGTACCTAAAGGTCAGGGTTAGGGTTAGGGTTAGGGTTTGGGTTAAGGTTAGGGTTAGGGTTGGGGTTAGGATTAGGGTTAGGGTTAAGGTTAGGGTCAGGATTAGGGATAGGGTCAGGATTAGGGTCAGGATTAGGGTTAGGGTTAGGGTTAGAGTTAGGGTTAGGGTTAGGATTAGGGTTAGGGTTAGGGTTAGCTGCAGGAGAGCTGGAGAGGGACTTCGGACACGGGCCTGGAGAGACAGGACAAACAAGGGTGGCTTCAAGATGAAAGAGAGTGGGATCAGATGGGATATTGGGAAGGAATTCTTGGCTGTGAGGGTGGGGAGGCCCTGGCACAGGTTGCCCAGAGAAGCTGTGGCTGCCCCATCCCTGGAAGTGTCCAAGGCCAGGTTGGACGGGGCTCGGAGCAACCTGGGCTGGTGGAAGGTGTCCCTGCCCATGGCAGGGGGTGGGATGGGATGATCATTAAGGTCTCTTCCCACCAAAACCCTCCTGTGGTTCCCTGATTCTATGAATATAATGACTGGTCCTGTCCTGCTCAGTCACTGAAGCCTGTGAGCACTGTTCCTACTCAGGGTGTAACTTTACTGCAGCCTTATTTCAGGGGGTCAGCAGCACGAGCTCTGCCCCCAGGCAGCTTTCCCTGGATGACAGTGGATGGGTTTCCACCCCTCAGAGCTCCCGTGTTCCGTGGGATGGTTTGGAGGAATAGTGCTTTTGCAAGCACAAAACAAATTACATTATAAATTACTGGTTTATGACTCTGCCTCAAAGAACTATAACTTATCTTTGTCAAGGAGTAAACAAGGACTATAGGATGACATTGAAAAATTATCAGTATTCAAGTGGTTTCACCCACGTCCTCACTGCAAAGCAAAAAGGTCATTAGAGTATTTGAGTGTTACAATTCGACATAATTTCTGTACTTCAAGGTTTTATTGTTTGGTAGTTGGGGTTTGCTGATTGTTTCCCATTGATTTTTTCACAATTACAAGTGGAAAAAAGTTCTCTGACAAAGGTGAGGTCTAGCCTTTTGTGAGGGATTTTCTACCTCTGAAGGTTGCCAAAAATTAGGGGAAAAAAAAGGGAGAATATGTGGAGGGTGAGATGATTCAACATAAAAAAACATTTAGATAAAAAATGTTATTTTTAAATAAAGAATATGCAATACCCATGGGAGCACCTTTGTTCTGTTTTTACATGAACTGTGGAAATCAAAGCCATTGCACAGGCAGTGCCAGCCCAGCACAGGCAGCAGCACAACTCCATCTCCTGTCAGGCTCTGCAGCTCCCACCAGCACAGAGCAGCTCTGGGGACAACAGGAGGAGGCAGCTCGGCTGCTAATTGCTCCTGAACAAACATCTGCCATGCCCAGGGCTCAGACACCACTGACTCATCCACCAAAGGATTGATAGTCACCCAAAAATGTCACCAGGCTTTGAGAGTCATTTGAAAGTCACTCCCGAATGGGCTGAAATTTTCAATGTGCTCATGTTCTGGGGCCTCCTCTGAGCCCTGGACCAGCACCACAGGGCACATCCTACTGCCATGGAAACTATTTCTAGGTCACCTTTACATAACAGTGCAGAGAAAACATCTCCTCACCAGCTCCACCACCGCAGAACACTCCTTTGCCACGGGGATTGCGGTAACCCCCTGAACACTGCCTGTCATTAAAGTGCCACAAACAGACACCCTCCCCCAGCACCAAGGTGGGAACAAACACCCCATGCAGGAGGGCTTGGCTCAGACTCTGCTCTTACATTTGAGGGAAGCAAAATGAGTGTCTGATCCTGTGCATTCATTTTGTCATTGGAGTGTAACAGCCTGGGTCCAACTAACTCTGCAGAGAACCCACCAAGAGGGAACACAGAGCTGGAGCTGCCTTTCCAGATCTGGAGTTGCACAGGAATAAATCTGGCAGAACCAAGGATTCAAGTCACAAAATCAGATTTAAGGAGCTCTTGAACCGAACAACAATATATTGAGTAAAGACAGAAAAGTGACAGGAAGGATTTCAAATCCTGAAGTACAGAAATATTTCAGCACATAAGAAGTAAATAATTACATGGGTGATTCTTTTCTGGTCAGGAAGCACCAAAGAATAACCAATGCAGGAAAAAAGCTGAATTTTTACAGCAGTTGTTAGTGAGTGCTCTCACCTGTTTATTTTGGGTATGGAATCACAATGTTTGGATTGCAAAGGAAGTGTCTTTAGCAAGATTCTATTTGGAAAGGGAAGAGAAAAAGAAAGACAATCAAAGTTTTCATACTACATTGATAAACCTGGAAATTCTAATTCTGTGGTGATAATTTTAACCACAATGAGTTGCTCTCAAGAACTAAAGTCTGAATTTATGCTGCAGGTCTTCAGCTTATGTGCAGGGCACAGTCCAACCCAAAGCCACAGGGCCTCCAGAAAGGTGTTATTTGTGGCTATCAGTTGTTTTCTTTTTTTGTAACTATGGAGTTTGTGGTGTGTGTCCCCCCAGTTGAGAAGCAGAACAGTGTCTCCAGCAACCATCATTTCATAAAAGGAAATTGTTGCAAGTCAGGGTAGACTGACCTCACCTGTCCTATTATTTCAGACCGTACAAGTCACTCCCAAACTCTTGAGAGCTGGGCATGACAAAGATCACAAGCAATTGAAAAGTACAGGAGGAGGGGGAAAAAATATGGCTGAAATTCTGAAATAAATCATATCTGACAATTCTGAGTCTACAGAAAAGATTCTACTGACAAGAATTGTACAAGAAAAAGCTCTCCAGAATATGTAGGAGAAATCTCTATCCCTGCATTACCAGAAATTCCACCTTGGGCAGAACACCTTTTAAAGTTCACTTAAACTCTTCCATTTCAACTGAATCCCATTGTGAGGCGGAAAAAAACCCAATGTCATGAGAATCCTTACCTGTTTTATGATGTAGAGGCCTTTAAAATTTAAAGAATTAATAATACAAAAACCTTGGTGTTCTTTATTCTTTTGTTCATGCAAGAAAACAGCAACTCCAGTCTTACTAATCTATTCATAGTTTTTAAGCGAAAAGGAGCTTAGAACTAAAAAGCAGTAAGACCTTTTAAAGCCATTTCAAATCTTACAGGACATTTGACATTGCCTTATAGGCAGAAACAGACTTATTAAGAGAAATCACCATATAGGTCCCTAAACTACTGCTCCTAGAAACGGAAGAACTAATTCCAGCACTTTGTATGAAATCTTTGGAAATTCCTCTTTACAGATTCACCTCATTCCTGGACAGATGAATGAATTCTGTAAATAGTTTTAAAGCTGCATTTGCTGTTGAATGATAACATTATGGAGACCTGGCCATAATTTCTGCTGAAAATAAGCAGTTGGACGTCTCTGAAGGATGGTGGAATTAGAGTTTAGGCTTTGACTGGCTCATAAATTGTCACACAAGCAAATAGCAAATATAAGTCACATTTTCCTTTCTTCCCTGTCACTCCTTCTCCAGCCATTGCCACATCAAAATTTCCATACAAATTATAGCAGGTATGGACACAGGAATGCTGATAAATCACTTTGTGGCCCTACTACAACCATGTTACAGTGCTATATAGACCCTAAAAATGTCTTTGGAAGCATTTTGCACAATTATGAGAAATGACCCATAATAGACAAGTCATTCAGATTCCAGTTTAATTCTTCTTAGCAATAAATGGATAAAAAAGATTCAGAAAACATCCTTAACAGTTGGTATCTTGTGTTCACCCCACCACCACCATTATCAGACACAAGGTACTTTTGCTGCTCAAACAATTTGAGCATTGCATGTGCATATTTGTTCTGTTCAACCTGCCAATTGATGACAAATTCCACAGCTACATCTGGAGAACTTAGTCACCCACTGACTCCACCCTTCCTCAGTCCCCTGTGCTCCAGGATTCACTGGTTCCTGTGACTTCCTCCTTTGCATTGGGGGAAAAAATGGTTGTGTGCCTGGCAGAATGCAGATAAGGGATATTTCCCAGCAAACAGCTTCTACATGTCCTGATCCAGGGCACCTGCCTGTGCCAGTGCTCTCCATTCCCTGCTCAGTTTCACAACTCCCATTTGCCTTTCTGCCCCTCAGTGCAGGTGGTGTTCAGCAGGAACCAACCCCTGAAACCCCCACCATCCTTATAACAGGTGACTTGGGAAATCAGCTCCTCGTGAGTGAGCTCTCCCTGACTGTTTTACCAGTCCATAGTCACTTATTCCTTTGCATTAAATAAAAATTGGATGTGCAAGAACAAGAGAACATTGCTCTCCACACCATGTGCAGAAACTGTATTTGGTAGGCATAAGAACCAAGAGATTTGAATATGAAAAGTCAATGCCAGATGAAGAGAACAAGCCCGTGCCTTTTCTTGGCACGCTGGTGGCACTGACACATCCCAAATTCCCAGAACTCTGTCACCAGGTCAGTCACATCACACCAAGTGTCTTGGAGCTTTGAGAATCCTGGTGAGAGGCACCAGGTGAACTGATGCCTGTAAAAGCTTGTTGAGCTGTTCTTTTTGCTTCTCATCCAGAGCAAGTCTTAGCTGTGCATAAATCCAAGCTCTGATTTGGCCTGTCCTGAGCACTGCTGGGCACACTGCAGAGTCCTCCCCGTGTGCCAGGTGTGCCCAGGGCACTCAAAAATCCCAGGGAAGTTTTTTAGGCCACAGCAATCCTCCAGGACTGCTTTTGGTTGAGGTGCTAAATCTTTATCCCTCTAAATATCTCAGGGGAA